GAAAATATCGTAAATCAAAAAAAGGTTTACTGTTATTTAGTTTGGTTACAAAACCTACAAAATCTTCATTGCTTTCACAGTAATATATTTTTTTTATTTAGGGAGCATTATCAATAGTTATGTTTTTAAAAGAAAAACTACTATTGTTATAAATAATACATTCAATTGAACTAAACTATGCATGCCTATTTAAATATATTTGCTTGTGTATATCGTATATATACATATATATTATTCATACCTTCGGTGTATAGGACGCAAGCAGATTTTGACATCAAATTTTGGGGTAAAAAAGTGCGTCTTTTACACCGAAAAATACGGTAAATGTTTAGGAAGGTTTTCTCTAGCAGAAAATCAAGTCATGCTTTTTCCTTAAAAGGTTTTGAAAAATCTTGAAAGATTAGCTCTTCAGAGAATCTTCTCCTTGACTATCAAAAGTCAAAACATTAAATTCTAACAGGCTACTCGTCTGTTACCAAGAAATTAGCCCTAGTAACATTGTCTAATGATTATTTATTTAATTAATAGTGGTCCAAAATGTAACTATGGTAGTAAAAAATATCACTTAATCCAGAAATTGAGGAAACATAATATATTGATGGAAACTTTTGGTTATACTGTTTTTAGTTTATATTAATCCGCAACATTAGCGTAAATGATATCACAATCCATTTTGCTCTGCAAAGATTAAAAATTGATTCATCTTACAAACTATTTTAATATACGATCATATTTGAAATATTCAAATCGATTTCAAAAATTCGACATATATAGTTGATTATCAAAGTAAAGTCCAGACCCTAAAATATCAGTTTCGAGTTTCACTTGTCATAAGTAGCTAATACCGTTAGAAACATAACTCTCTAGCTAATTTTATAAATATATAACAACTTTTTTCACCGAATGTTTTATTCTGATTACTGCAAAAATACAGCTGTTAGCTTATTAATATTATTTGTGATATAAATTCTGTCGTCATAACATTAATATTACATTATTAATGAGTAATAAGCTTATGAAAGTCATTACCAAATCACAAAACTTATATAAAAATATGTGTTAATGACATATTAAAGTTTTATTTTTCTACGTGTTTGTATAGTGGATTCTTTGTCAGTTTGAGATATTCTGGAGCCAGATATATTAATTGGTAAATAGGTTAATCTAATATTCAATATGAAAAACAAATTAATATATGCAGAAGAACGAAGCGTACGTAAATGTTTATATCATTTAGATTGTATTTATATCTTCCACAAAAGGAAGGAAAAAGACCTAAGTGAAGACGGAAAAAAAAGACACAAATTAACTAGGTTTGTAAAATATATATGAAACATTTTAAAATACTATAAAAAACATTACATGTGCAAAATTGAAACTTATTGGAGCATTGTCGAGTTAAAACGGTAACATGGACGTCAAGTAGAAAATACGGATGGTAGCTAAAAGAGGAATTGATTTCGAAAATTCATGCTACAAGAGCACTTAGTTCTCCAAGGAAAAATCAGTTTTAGGGTTTTATTCATGATTAAGAGCAGCATAGTTTATGTTAGATGCAGAATTATCTTTTTGTACATCTATAATAATTTCAATAAAATAACAAAGGTCAACCGTGGAGTGCAAACGCCCGTCTTTTGGCCAACAGAAGGAAAGGAAACTGCACATGCGCCTCCAAGTAGCAGCCCCGTGAGTTTCTACCATCCTCAAAAAGAGAGCAAACCATTGACATCATCAGTATTGGGTTTAAGGGCCTGAGGCTTGACAACGTTTGCCTCTCAGATTGTGTAGCGTCAGGTAAGTGTATTGCTCAATATTTTATCAAAGATGAAGTTGAGAATTCTAATGTTTTTTGTTACTTACCTGTGTTCCATCATTCTAACCTATTTATTTTTACTAATAATACTTCTTTCTTTTTGTTTTTGTAATTGCATAATGAGATAATTTCATTTAAATAACTTTCGGAAATAGGTGCTTAATAATTGTACAAAAAGCGTCATCTTATCGGTATTTATCAAGTATTCATTGTATAAGATGTATTCAAACAGAATGTTTCCATGAATATTCGTATTTCATATAAACGTATTTTATAAAATTAAAGCTTAAAAATGACAAAATACGATATTATTTTGATCTATAAGTTATTTAGAATTCAAAATATTTCAACAAAAACCTTGAAATCAGAATATCACTTATATTTTGTTAGAAACTATTTTATTCAGCGTTATTTGAAACGAATTGTGAAAGTTTAATTAAAAAGAACGTATATAAATTTGAAATCTCCACCAATTAGGTCAAAACTACAACATTTTGAGAAGTTTTCTTTAGTTGTTTACATATGCATTAGCTAAAAAATTTTATGGTTTGTTAAGTAAGGTCAGATTGTTCAAAATTAAAAAGATTAACCTTAAGAGTAAATGTTAGTATATCAGGTGAATGTTCATGTGGGACGGACACACAGACAGTTACTGCCTTTAGTTGCTAACTAGATGAGCACCTAACAACTGATACCTTTGTTATATTTACATTATCTAGCAAAAGGTATCACGTGGCTTCTTCTATATGAACAGAGAAGGCTATATGCTGTTACCTTTCGTTAAGCCATATATCAAATTTGTCAAAAGGCAGTTGCTTGTTTACTAAGTATATTGTTTTATTACCTGAAACCTTATTAGCAATCATATGGGCAAAGAAGACCATTGAAATTTACTCGAAGTTAATTTCCTTTAAGAAAAAACAAAATAACTATATAAGAATGGTTAACATTATTTTAGCAACCTCTAATTGACTTCTGATTATAGTTAGAAAGTTACATTACATTAGAACATTTTTAATTGAATTTAGTGTGATCTCTAATCAGATTACACAACCAAACCTTTCCCGTGACTTACGTCTGTTGGTTTTAACAAAGAGCGACTTAGCCTAAAACATCAATGGAATTAAATCACACACAACTATAGACAGTCACGCAAAACAAATTCAGAAAAATAATGAGCATCATCCAAGACTGTTATTTTTTAAAGTTAACAACACCGATGCTATTTCATTATCTTCAAGTTGTTAATGAGCTGGAAAAACCGCAAGAGTCAGCATATGTGAAATACTTAGCTGAGTGAGTAAATATTTTGGAATGGAGAAGGTAGATAAGGCGTGTTTTCAATCGTAAAAAATGTATTTCTACTATGTTGTATTCCCTGCGATTGCCAGTTTTGTTCTTTGCGATTCGGTACCATGAAACTTGTTTTTATTATATTTTTTTGTTATATACACAGAAGTCGAATACATTATATTAATGCGATTTTAGAGACTCTACACTTCGTTACAGTTCATGTCGCTACGTCCGGTCGTGCATCTTAACAATAGTCATGTAGCGTAGTTTCAAGTGTAAAAGGCTCTGTCTCTACAGCATTCCCTTACCCATCTCGTGTACAAGGACGACGGTTTCCCAGCTTCTGTTTCAACAATGTATTTAGACAAAGATTAACAAGTGACTTGACCAGTTTGTTTCATATATAATAGAATGAATACTAGATTCATCTTCCAGCTGCAACTGTTCAACTATTATGTCGTGAAAGAAAGTTGAATACATGTCACTTATGTCTCTTTCCAAGAAGGATATCTTTCTTGATTGTGTACATATTTTGCGATGGAAAGGGCTGTTGCATAGCCTTTTCATTAGCGATCATGTTTTGGTGGCATCACATTTCCTACGTAATGTCAAACAATGTCAAAACACAGCTCCAATACATAAAGTTCCATCGCCACTTTATGCAACGTACTAAACTCTCTCTCTCTGTATATACATATATATATTTATGTGTGTTTGTCTTTTTTTATGATTTCGCAAAGACAATTGAAACTTCAACTAAAACTAAGAAAAGGTTTTTGATATTATTTGCTAATATCAAAGAAATAGATTGCCTCACACTAAAGTTTACCATATCATACATACACAAAATAGATAAAAATGATTATACAAACTCTTATAGGGACTAAAGATAAATTTAAACACAGGAGTTTCAATACAAGCATAAGCGCTTTAAAACAAGGTAAGGATATTCTAAATTCTTGAAAGACAACGCTTTTTACAGTTTCTGTGATATTCGCTTTCATTTTATACTTCCTTTATTAGCCTAGATAATAGAAAACAACAGTGGTCTTATTTAAACTGAAATAAAGAAAAAATAATTGGAAATATGTTTAAACAGATTTCTTTCACTAAAGACGAAATATAATCATCAGAATTTAATGATATGATAGATTAAAAAGTTCAGAAACTCTCAATAAGCATCAAGGTTTAAAACAGTCATCATTTAGATTATTTTCATTTGCGCGATTAGTTTTTGTGCTTAAACAACTTAGTATTATTCTTACATGGTCAGAATAAGTTTTTCTAGATTAACTTATACTTATATTTTATCTTATCTTCGTTGTGATTGAAGTGCGCTTATGTTGAAAGCTAACTTTAGCTTTAGAATAGAGATATAAAGTTTCAGAAGTGAAGACGTTATGTGTTAGTATGATATATATATATATATATATACATATGGTTTATGTTTTATAGCGTATAAACAACTAAGTTTATATGTGTAGATAGTTATAAAATACCGTGTAAAGTAATCTAAAATGAAGTTGTGATCCACTAGTACTGAACAACATTTTGACACTATCACGAGTCTTCTTCCACCAATCTTTTGTTTTATTTAGCCATAGCATCTTTGGACACTTTATTGACCTGACAAAAAACTAGAAGACAGCATTGCAAATCAAAGTTAGAAATTAGTTACAGAACAATGGAAATTATTTAAACACGTGTGATCAAAGACTTGGAATAAAAATATATTTTTAAATTTAGGTAGGAAAATGGTATACGAAAATAATCGCTATGGTTAAATATCCTGTACGCAGGGCATTAAGATTATATGTACAAAATATCCTTACTTAGTTGCAAACAATAGCTGTCAAAGGTTAATTCTTGTGAGATTAATGATAATTGTTCAACAATCTGGTCACTTACAATATTGAAATAAACTTATTACATGTGACTCTATACATATTTATAATATTTTAGTAGTTTCTGTAATATAACTGTTTAAGCTGATAAAAATAAAATATTTGGTAGTAGCTATATATATATTCCTATTCTATATCATAAGAAACATTTGGCTTTGATTGATTCAGAATTTATTTTCTGTGTGATTGTTAATTAACAGGAGTTTGAATTTTAATGATATTTAGGTATCAGCAAGAAGTTTAAACTCGCCCTATAGCAGACATAACTAGCAAGATGGCATATAGTTATTATTGGATTTGATTGAATAAATGCTACTTTCTTTTTTATAATAAAAAACAAAGGAGTTTTTCCTTAACTTTTAACAAAGGGAAAATTACACTAACAAAGAGATATTATTCATGTTAAACTAAAGAAGCTTCATGACATACATGTATACTTACATAAACATATTACTTCAACAAAATATTGAAAGACAAAATATTTAAAGACAAGGTTATAGAAAGAAGAGAAATCGGATCTGAAACTCTACCTTGTGGGTATAACATATATTTTGATTGTACACTGAGTGGTCACAAGTAAATAGACACCTAAATTTTCGTCATTCAACTGATTTATGCTAATTAATTTGTGTTCACAGAGCACTATATAAATGAAAATA